GTTTATAAGATAATCAGTTCAAGTTCAATAACTTACAAATAAAAATATTAATTCATTCAAAATTCCTAAAAAATTCATAACTTTAAATATTATACATATAATTGATATCTCACCTAACAATGAGCAACACAACATCATAAATAAAAAATAAAAATATTAAAACAACAATTAACATAATCATGATATTGATTTTGAATTGTAGAAGATCGATTTTACGAGATAAATTCTTCTTCAAAGACAATATCCCACCTCATCACTATCTCGGATAGAATTGTCTAACTGATCGGGCTATCGAAAAAAGTTACAATCATTTGTTGTTCTATTCATCTACACACTTCAAATTTTCTTCCAGAGTTATTTTCTATTCATGAATCATGAAACAAGTAGATAACACTTCAATCCACACTCGCAATACAAGACTCTAAAGGAACTAAAACTCCTTAAGGTCGTATTTTTTGAAAAGTTAAAACCACAAACATAAAATTAGATCTTCTTAATAGTGCAACGATAGAATTAGATGAAAAATTAACTAATAAGAACAATAAAAAAACATAATTATATATTTATAAAATTGTGAAGTCTTTGACTAAAGATAAACTGAAGAGTAATCTATCATTATGAGAAGAAAAGCATTATAGTTGTTGGCCTTTAAAAGAGAAGCATGAAACTAAGCTAAGTGTTGCCGAGATGAGAAAGATTAGGAGGATGAGTGGCTTTACACTTAGATACAAAATGCAAAATAAATATATCCGTGATACGGTTGGTGTGGCTCTAGTGGCGGACAAAATTTTAGAGAGTCATGTTAGATGGTTCAATCACATTAAACGTTGACCATCTGATGATCTGATTACAAGAGTAGATGTTTTAGATTTGATTTATGTTAAGAATTGATTAAATTTGAATCCACATCTATTTTAATTAAGCACCTCTACCCATGCACAACCCAATTGGCTTCACATCTGCCCACTGCTGACCATCCTTAGTGGGATGGTGACTTTCCTCTAGCCGACCGACCACCTTGGCTGCCTGAAAATTCCAAACACAAGAACACCACCATGGCCAAAACCGAAAATTACCTCCAGATAAAAACTTGCAAGAAATCAACCGTCCAAATCAAAATTATAATAACTATAAAACCATTAAAAATAGATATTTAGTATTCTCCAGTTGATAAAAACATTGTCATTTTGAATCAGAGTAAAATTTCTTTTTTTCCGGAAGATACAATCACATAAGAATTAAATTATGAAAATTTTCTAGCACATGATATAATATAAAGTAGTGAAAAACTTATCCCACATGAGATTACAAGAATAAGTATAATCAAGATTGTTTTGAAATACATGCAAACATCATGACGTGAAACCAAACCAAAATTCAAAGATTTAAATAAAATATGATCTTTAGTAGAAGAATCAAAATAAATTTTCATAACTAAATTAACTAACTCATTAGGAGGAACATCCTTAGTTTTATATTTATCATAATCACTATTAACCATAAAATTAGATAATTTAATAGAAGAAGTAGAAGGAGAATTAAAAAGGGATTATGCTTTACATTTTATAGATTAAAGCTTTTCCAAATGGGCGAATCATCCGCTTTATAAACACAAGTAACATAATATTTATCGTGACAATATTTATTTCTCATAAATTTGGCATGCCAACTAGAAACCATTCTAAAATTCTACAATAATTTAAAAGAGATAGCACAAGTCATATTATAATTGATTTACAACCCAAACCTACTTCAGAAAGGGGACTACGGGCTTTAAACCAAGATTATTAATGAATATTTTATTTAAGGGAAGATTATTCCTAAGAGATTTTATTAAGAAACCTTTAAAATTACTCACAAACATTAGGAGTAGGATAAAAAATTTGAACAATATAAATAAGAAGTTAACATAAAACACTATTAATCAAAGTTAATCTAACACTGTTGGTATCATATTTGACTCACTATTGAGGTTGATGTGCTCAATTAAAGTCTTCTTAGGCCCATGCTTGTATAGCCACCTTGCCTCACGTGAAAGTTTTAAAGAGTTGTACGGTGCCATGGCGCCAATACTAGTATTGTAGCTCTGCATGTGATGTGAAGAGTCCCTTGGAACACACCAACACTATCATGGTATCACATCCCTAAAAGGTCTAGTACCTTGATGCCTCTTTAAGATGTTTAAGGCATTAGTTGATGCCCTGACACCAATGTAGGTGTTGCGGTGCCAATCCAAGCAAAATAGAACACATAACTAACAACAAAAACATGAAACTAAAAGCAAGAGTCTTGAGTGTACTTCACAGAGGGTAAGACTCATGCTTTGGTGACTGAGGTGTTGTATTTTTATATGATTTTCTGAAGAAATCCTCTTAGTAATAGTTTCTAACCAGGGATAATGTTCTTTTTAACCTATTTCTAGGTCACAAGATAAGTTGAGAACCATAATATGGTTGAGTAGGACTTAACCATGCAGTGGATCCCAGAACTTTTCGGATCATCTATCTAGGTTACAATACATTAATGGAAATATGTTTTTTCTACTAAGTTATTGTGTGTTAACCTACTCTTTCCACTAGTTGTTGATTACATGTCATAGATCATAAGAGTTTTTAACATACTTATGGGACAGATTAGGAGTAAACTATGTTTTGAAGGCTAACACAATAACATGCATACAGTCAAAGCACTTATAATATTTGTAGGGAGAAAACATGTAGAAAACCATAAAAAATTATCCAACCCTTACATCATAAGTGAATGAAAGGAATCTAGCTACTCGACATGAGATGGAAAAATATGAAACTATTTAAAGAAAACAAGTATAAAAAAATAAAAATTATAACCCAAAAAATTACTCTCCATAAGATTTATCTCATCATTGTAAGTATAGATTTTATTACTGGGGTTTTGACGAAGGTAAGAAATCTTTCCCAAATCCAAATTATGCATGTGGGGTACGCTTGTGCCCATGACTTGTTTTGGGTGCATTGCCTCCTGGTCGACAGGGGTATGGGGGATCTAAAATATGGGTGGGGGCGCTAATCTAGGAAGGTAAAAGATGCAAGATGTGGAGCATAGGAGTGCTAGCTTTCAAACCAAGACATAGTAAATGGATGCGCTAAGCCATGGGTGTGGGTGACCTGGGCCAGGTGTGGGCATGCTTTAGGAGTAGCGGAGGTATTCATCTTTCTCTAGATTGGAGTATGAGGTTTTCGTTATTGTGTGTGAGTTAGTTAGGCCATCTTTTTTTCCATTCTTTTAGCTCTCCATTTTGTATCTTTTCGTTCCCAAAGTAGCTAATCTCGTGGAGGAAATGATAGAAGTAAATTTAAGAAGCGACAAAGTATTGCTCCGAAGGGCGCCTCTAAAAAATAAGGGAAAGCAAGTAGCCATTCAAGGAGTGTTAATCCTACCAACAGAAGAAGCACCTACCCAAGAGAAAACTGGATGAATTAATAACAAAGTGGAGTATAATGTACTAGCCCATATTTAAAAGTTGCTTGCCAGACTAAGCATCTAAAACGCTCTTATCCTATCAAAGGAGATAAGAGAAGCACTAATAAAGGCCTTACTTGATCTGGAAATTTGCTTAGCACAATTGACTAGCACATCCTTAGAAGAGATTTGTTCATTAAGAGAACAGTCTTGCGTGACCTTAACAGACGAAGACTTGTTGCTCAACACCGCTGACCACAACCAACCTTATACATTTCAATCAACATTAGAAGATTCACACTCTCTAGAGAGACAATGGATCCAGAAGAATCAATCAACATGATGAAACCACGAACATTAGCTTACTTAGACATGGACATTCACCTTACAACTGATAAAATGATGCTTAGAGGATTTAATCAGGAAAGAAGAAGAGCCATTAGATTGATAACACTATCAATGAGCATCGGTGACTAGTGACATACATAAAATTTCATATGATCTATTAAGAAACTTCATTCAAAAGGCCTACTGAATCAACCTTGGATTCATGAGTATAAGATGGTCCCTTCATCTCTATTTCAGTGCATAAAATACTATGAAGAAGGTCAAGAATGTTGTGCAAAGGGGGATTGACAACCGTTCTCAATACATGAGATAGACATTCAATAGGATGCCACCTACTATGTTCTCCTAAATAAAACAATATTCTCCAGAGACATTGTACTGAATTAAGTCAAAGATTCAAAAGGATTACAAGGGTAGCATATTCAAATTTTCTGAATTTCAGTTCAACAATCTTCTACCGTTCCTTTTCAACAAGAGGGTGGAAGCTCATTTAGCCGTCGCATCCAAGAGCAAGGCAGGGGACAAGGGTAAGGAAGAGTTAGTAGGATTGTTAAACAGAGAAATTGGACTATCAACATTGACTTGAAAGAGAGTTATGAGATTGAAGAGATAGAGAAGAACACAATAACAACAAGTGAAAGGAAGCCTCAATTTTTTATCTCGTTAGAGGAGGAAGAAGGAACTAAGTATGAGTCAATGCATGATAAGGTTAACCATATTTTAAGGTTAACCACTATGTACAAACCTTGACTTTAACCCAATTCATTCTTCTAAAGTTGAGGTTTTAGAGGTGAAGAAAGTAAGAAGTGTGGGCATGAAACTGATTAAGTTCCATAATGGTTCACCTTTTTTTAGTTTTGAAGTCAATGCAAAACTAGAAAAAGATACTTCTAATGTGTTAATGGAATTACCTATTGGATGGTACTTTATGTGTGTTCAAATACTTGTTCAACATGGCTTTGTGCCCAAAAAAAATGTTGAAATGTAGGCTA